TTTTTTAATCCCCCCCTTAAAAAAAAGGAAAGGATTTTAAATTTACTGGGGAAAAAAAAAAAAAAAAAAAAAAAAAAACATAACACGTTGTTTAAAATCCCTTCTCTGTGGTCGTTACTTCTCTGTAGAGCAGAAGCACGTCCAGGTGGAAGGTCTTATTGTTGTAGGATCCAAACTCCCTGAGGCGGATCCGCTGTCCCAGAGCATCGTAGGTGTATTTGGCGAAGGCCCCCAGCTTCTCATTCTGGGTGGACTGGACATAAATCCAAAATAAATATTTACTATAATCACAAACAATCGCTTTTTGTTATTTGGCTGGTAAAAACAAAGTGGTAACTCACCACAGAAAGGGAACCGGTCAACAGCGGCGGGGAGGCTGTCGAGATGAAAAGCATATTTTCGTCTGAATAGACGATAAAAGTAGAGATGTTCACACAGGTGTGTGTGTGTGTGTGTACTCACTGCATGGCCGGGGTCTCTGGGCCACGCAGCCCACCGACAGGCACACCAGCAGCACCAGCAGCACCAGAGCTCTCATGTCGTCAGGCTGACTCTCCTCTCTGCAGTCGGAGCTCACTTCCTTTAAAGGTGCGCAGTTCTCAGTCGGTGTCACCTGACACCTGTTTCCTGTTTTTAATTTTGTTGATATATTTTTCTTTCCAGGCTGAGGAGCCTGGAAAGTCATTCAGCGTGAGTTCACGTGAATCAGCTGAAAAAAGAAATCGACATTTTTGAGCTTTCTGGGTACAAAGCAACAACAAAGAAAATACATACAAACACAAATATATGCAATAAGTGTTGCCTCAGACATTCAGTCCATTTTTACATCATAATGTTGTATTTATACTAATGCTGTCAATTGATTTAAAAACATGTAATCAAATTAATCACACTCTTGCACAGTGATTAATTACTATTAATCACTGTGCAAGAGTGTGATTAATTTGATTACATGTTTTTAAATCAATTGACAGCATTAGTATAAATACAACATTATGATTAATAATGTGATTAATTACTATTAATCACTGTGCCTAACTTTTGTAGCTTGAAATATAAATGTGCGCACAGTTGTGGTTCTTGAAGGAATGTTGCCCTGGGCAACCCCCTCCTTCTGCTGCGTTTCAGCCAATTAAAATGAAAGAAATTATCTGTGGGGAATTTTTGTAGCAGAAAGCAGGTAATGTAATCTCCCAGAAGTCAACAGCAGCTAAAGGAAACTTACTCCACTATACATGCATACAAGTAGCAGAGAACCTGTTCAGGGGCGAACTGACAGATAAGATATATTTTATTTTCTAGTTCTTGTGTGGCCCACACCTTTCTGATGTTACCCTGGGCAAATGTTTTTTTTTTAATCCCAAGCAAAACATGTCTTAAGATTTTCAGTTTTCTAGGTTTTTATATTCAGAAATCTTTATAGGAAGTTTTGTTTAAAACAACTCCAGGTTTTACATATCAATAACCCATGAGCTACAATATTAGAACAAGCTAAAACTTGCATAAATTTTATTATGTTATGTTCACATGCCGAGGAACAAAATTAGACTTGGATCCTGAAGATTTGTTTTGGCTCTGTGGTATCAGCCATCAGCCATCAGCCTACGACATGTTTCAAACTCAAAATATAGAATAATTTTTTTCTATATCTGACATATAGAAAAATGTCAAATTGTAATGATGCACATTCATGTTTGCGACTGTAAAGTAAAAAATATGTTAGTTTAAATCCGGGATGCACCGACCTGAAAATATGGGCCGGTGCCAATGTCCAATTTTAATGTTATGGCCAACAACTATTATCTTATATTACATATCCAGATATTATACATCCTGATATGTGTTGCTACAGCTAAACACACCACAGTCGCAGTTGCTGCATCACCATTACTGTCACATGACCAAACAAATTCGACATGACTCAACCCCTCCTCCCAAAACACATCTGGCAACAAGATGGAAATAAACATTGGTTATTATCGACCCAGAAATATTTATGGGACTAATATTAAGGCAGATTAATATTGGACACTTTGAAGCTGTTGGATACTTGTGCAAGGTTCTGCACTCAGCTTCATGTCAGTCAGTTCAGGAAACGACTGCTGGTGTTTTCTACTGTGACTGACTGTTGCATATTTTAATAAACTCCCATAAATCATTAATTACATTAATGTTGTATTTAATGCCTCCTCTGACCTCATGGCCTTGGTTGTACATTGTCATGGAGCTCAGTACAGCTGCAGCGTTTGTATTTATTTTTATGCATTTATAAGAATATCACTGCTTACATCAAAAGGACATAAGGAAAAAAAATATCTGGATGAAAACAATACAATAGCAGAGGATAATTTCTATATCTATATCTTTCAATTCCTTGAGTGGAATCTGGAATAAAGTTCCAGAAAACTGCAAAGATGCTGAAACACTGATTCCTTTAAAGCAGAGCTGCCTTTGACAAATTTAATGAATTTGATGATGGCATTTGACAAAATGTAACATTTATTGCTTGTTTCATAGCTGTTTACTGTATGATGTTTTTATGGAGTAAAGAACTTTGAACAGCCTTGTTGCTGAAATGTGCTGAACAGACGAACCGACTGATGTTTCCTCTCAGTTCTGAACAATATAAATATGAACAATTCATTATGAATGAATCCCAACTTGAATTCCATTCAGTTTTTTCAAGTTTTATAAGAGCTACTTTGACTAAAACCACAAAAAAGTCATTTTACAGTAAAATAGATAGGCTCCTGCTGCAGTGTGTTTCTGGTTTTTAAAGAAGCTGCAGGAATGAAGTGTGTGAGTCTTGCTCCTCTTCCTCCAGCTGGGCAGTGCTGCAGAACGGTGGTGGGGTGAGATCCTGGGGGTCTACCAGGCCGACGACGTTGTTGAAGAAACTGAAAACCAGATGAAAACAATCAGTTCAATCTGTTACAGCTGCATCTGAGCAGAAAACACAGTTCTGTGTCTGAGTTCATGCCTGGTTTAAGGTTTGTTTCTGCTTGTTCTAAGTAGTAATATAATTCTGTGATCCACTTTCTTTGAAAGCTGGAAAATAAATGAAATATCTACTTAACACCAACCTCAACCTGAAAATCCAACATGGCTGACACATTTGTGTAAGATTATGACAGGTGAAGAGCTAAAAGTTTAGATATCACAAAAGATATAATTTTTCACCTGTGTGCTAAAAAGAATTGGTCTATTTTCCATCAACCAATGGAATTTGCTAACTATTATTATTAGCTATTAGCTGCTATTAGCTAGCTGCTTTCCTCTACTCCTATCTGATCCTTTTTAAACCTCTCCCCCCTTTCTACCTTTCTTTTCTCTCTTCTTTTTTATCTCTGTGTCCACTACATTTGAAATGAACCCAAAGAAATTTCTAATACATTTTATTTTCACAGATCAAGTGTAGCATCTTGACAAAAGCGGTAATGCTGTGCTTATAAATCTGTTGGGCCTCACCGTGACACTCACAACAATTCTGAATGCCGCACTGCCAACAAAACATGTAAATAAAAAAGAAAGCTATTAGCTGCTGTTAGCTATTAGCTGCTATTAGTATTTCACATTGTGAACTTGTTTTTCTAAGGATTTTATGCATTCAGAAATTGTAACATTTTTACTGACAGGGGCTGTGTGACTGTTTTAGTGACATTGAAACCATCAGAAATGCAAATCTAAAGCTTATTACTGGAGATACTGTTATGTTTTATACACACAGCACAACTTGTTGGGTCAGGTTGATAAGAAACTTCCTCTCATGGTGTAACAACAGATGAGTAGCTTGTGCGTTTGTGGACAATTCTGTTTATTTTACTACATTCAGCCGGCTTAGTATTGTTTATGATGAAGGGTAATTATTTTTGATCACCTGCTGGTTCATTGATTGTAATAAGACAGATTAGCAGGTATTACAAGTTGTTTTCATCTTATGTTTATGCGTTTCCTGAGCAAACCGGAGCAGGCCTTCAAAGCCTTATATGGAAGCGTTGTCATGGGGATTGTATAGTTTGTGTCTCTCCATACTGCTGACTCCTATGTTTTCTAGTTCAGTTTTATTAATTTATAAACACTTTTTTCCCACAATTAAAAAAAAAAATCCTTCTGCATAGTGCACCATTTGCTGGCTGGAGAGAAGAATAAAATCACACCACCAAATTTCCCTTCGTATTTCTGAATTTGAATTGAGTGGAAGGACACCATTTTATTCAGGAATGTAAAAAGACAGCATTATCTGCTGTCTGGAGCTGACGGGAATTAAATAACTGAGGCGTGAGCACTAACCTGGCCGCCACCCATCCTCTCTTGTCCGTGCTAAACAGGGTGCTGATAGGAATACATCCAAACTCTGTAACCGTGCTCACGTACGTTGCTGCAAAAGAAAAAAGAAAAAACAAAACAAAACAAAACAGATCAGTCACATAACTGCTGAGTCATTTTCAGTCATGTGGTTAAATGTACACTAGAGTGACTGACAGCACTAAGACCCTCTGGTAACACTTTATTTGAAGGGGGGTGAATAAGACTGACATGACACTGTCATAAACACCAAGAAATAATTACTGATATAAATTTGTTCTAAAAGTATTACTGATTGCACTTTAAAAATTAGGTAACTTTATGTTATTAAAGGTAAAGTTTAAACAGAAATGATTTCTTGGTTAATGTCAAGTTGTTATAACAAAGACATTTTGAATAATGTCAACTTTGTGTCATAAAAAAGTGTCATAATTTACCGAATGACGCTTTATGACAACAGTCATAAATATTCATGAAGGCTTATTCATGTTCATGACAGGTGTTATGTCATGTTTATGAAAGTGTCATGTCAGTCTTATTCACCCCCCTTCTTACAAGTGTTACCGACCCTCCTCCTTGCTCTGATTGGTTGATTCTAACTGGATATATGGTGTATTTCTGCAGATATCTGTAGGACCACAGGGAGGAGATGGAGGAGCTTGATTTTTGACAAATTATCTGTCTGATATTATACTGTCATGACATGGTGACAGATTTAACAAATATGTGAAAATATTGTGTCTAAAATGTAACTACTGGAGGTTTAAGTGCCTGGTGTATCTAATTAGCATCATACCTAAAGTTCCACTAGGTCAGTGTTCAGTTTTAAAATCTCTAAATAATTTTATATCTAAACAAAAGAAATGCAGTTTTTGTACAACTAGTTTTACATTCAGGCTCCTTTTCAGAAAAAGGGCTCAGAAACAAGTACCATGGTTTTTACTGTTTTGTACTACCTGCCACATAAAATCCCAAATAAAATATATTAAAAATTGTGGGCGATGTGAAAAAAAAAGTGAAAAACTTTAAGTAGTATGAATATTTTAGAAGAAACTCTACCTAGACCCTTCTTGGTCAGCAGCGTCCCGGTCCAGGTGTTAACCAGAATTTCCTCCCCTGGAACTGAAGAGCTGCCCAGCACAACCTGACCCACCAGGGAGGCATCCTTAGGAACGGCCAGCGGGACAAAGTCCGTACTCAGATGCCTCTTCAGGCACGTCTGGTCCCGGTTGTTGATCTTGTACATCACCCCCTGCAGGAAGGGATGGGATTACAAACAGAACCTGTTGGAATCTGGCATACATGCATATCCCCTCTCCTTGGTTCTCACCTGTTTGTAAAGCAGAAGCACGTCTAGATGGAATGTTTTATTGTCAAAGGACCCAAAGTTGCTGAGGCGGATTCGCCTCCCAAGGCCATCGTAGGCGTACTTAGCAAGAGCTGCCAGCTTCTCGCTTTGGGTGGACTGTAGGACGGAGAGAAGGCGTTTCACTGAGAGGAGTATGAGAACAAAGTCGAACTGGATTCAACTTACCACAAAAAGGCCTCCAGACATGAGAGGCGGGGATGCTGAACAGGAAAAATGCTCAGTTATTATTATGAGCTGGTAAGAAGAAATACAACATGTTGATGCCGAGCTCTTCCGGTGTGTTTACTTACAGCATGGTTGGGGTCTCTGAGCCAGGCAGCCCACCAACAGGCACACAAACAGAAAGAGAGTCGTCATGTTGTCCGATAGCAAGCCTACTGTACTCTGCCGTCCTTAAATGCAAGCCTGTGGGGTTTCCAGTCTGTATCCAGCATAATTATCAAAGATGCTGGTTGTAATGGTATGAAATATGCCGAATCCATGTGACTGAACAAGGAGAACTGACTAACTTGCTCTAACTGATTAGGATTCCCAAATCCAATGATTATCTCTGGTTTTTGCTCATCCAGCCATGATCACTGTCTGGTCACGTTATTCCCTGGTGAAAACCTTTTTACTTGCTCCACTTTTAAAGACATAAATGAACACTCACCTTCTTAAAAAGTGTTTTATGTTTTATGTTTTAATTACAGCACCAAACCTGCTGTATATTTACAATAATTTCCCTCGTTCAGGAAAAGTTGAAAGCCAACAACAAAGAGCATCGACCATCTTCTGAGCAGAAGAGCATTCTGTTCAGAAGGAATGAACAGAAAGCTCTTCTTGAACAACCAAACATAAAGATCCTCAGGTCGTACAAAACCAAAAAGCTTACGTATTTTTGGGCAGTTTGTGTGACAAACATAAAAAGTATTGTAGAATGGTGAAGAAGGGAGAGAATAGAAATACATCTAAATATGTGTATGTGTCATTTATCTCCATTTACTGATACTCAATGTAAAATTTAGTCCCTCATTCGCCTCCACTGTCCTGCATGTGGAGACGGACTCCAAAAAACTAGAAACTGTAATTGCAATAAAATGTTAGTTTGCACAAACTTTTGCATCCAAATAAGAATTTTGTGCTGATTTGTGTTGGATATACAAAATCTCAGTAACCTGACAAAGTGTGAAAAATGTTCAAGATGAATGAACTGTTTAGTGTGTGTACTTGTATGCAACCTATTTAGGGCCTTCTCTGGTGTGAGCCTAATGAGGGCCAAAGTCCACTCACAAGGCCATGGGCTCTTCTTTTAAGGATTAGGGGTTGGGCTTAATGGTGTCATGTGAATTATGGTTAGTGTCAGGCAAAGTTACGGGTAACCTATAAACTTGTGTGTGTACAAATCACACTCAAAAACACAATGAAGAGAAAATTACTCAATTTATTATTCTTGCTCATGTTCTAGAGAGACATTCTTCAACGGATCATCAGAGTAAATGAAAATGAATTGAAATGGAGAGAACTGAACAAACGGATCCATTTTGAGAAAAAATACTGAACGCACCGAGGTCTCAACCAAGAGTGGAACAAGACAACAGAGTTGGATGAAATGAAACAATCGAAGGAGGTCTTCATTTCTTGCTTTGAAATAAGCTGAAGAAGTCTACTGGTTCCTTCTGATCCTCCATTCTCTCTGCTTCAGAGCAGAAGCTGGGGGGATTGAGGAGATTAGGATCTTCAATCCCGATGACGTTGTCGAAGAAGCTAACAGAGAAACAGATGCAGGAATCATAAGGCTGAGCTCGGACATGTCAGCTCGAGCTTTATCATGGTCACGATGCTGAAACTAACCTCGTCACCACCCATCCGAACTCTTTGGTTTGGTAGTTGGTGTTGACAGGAATGCAGCCAAATTCAGTGACCACTGATGAGTACTTTCCTGGAAGGACAGAGAATAAAAGCTGTGCTGCCAAAGCTGGCTGAATGAAGAACCGAGGAGGTTACTGCCATAGACGCCTTCTCACCTGACTTGTCTGGTAGCTCTCCCATCCAGGTGTTCACCAAGAGGCCTTGTCCAGGTCCGGAGGAACTTCCCACCACAGCCTGACCCAGCAGAGTGGCGTCTTTTGGGATAGCCAGCGGGTAGAACTCTACCTTCAGAGGCATCTTCTTACAGGTACGGTTATGATAGTGGATCTCATACATGGTAGCCTGATCAGAAAAGTAAGGAGGGACGGTTTCAGCAAGGTCAATTCTTTCAGATTCTTCTGTACATCTTACAGAACACTTTTCAAACAAATCATCCTAAAATGGAGAGGGTGGGCCAACTGCAAACCTACAAACAAATGGCTACCAACACATAGAGCATGCATCTCTATATGGATATGGCCTTCTGAGACAAGTTACTACTGATCACCCTAACACTGTGCTATAATGTACATATTTAAGGGCATCAATATTTGCATTGGAATAAGCAGACCATAAAGACCAGATGACTTCTCTTGTATTAAGTGATGGAAGTTGAGGCAGTGCTGGTACTCTGGTGTCAGACCCGGTGCTTTAAGGTCCTTGTAAATTTGTGTTGCTGATCTGGAAGTGTATCAAAAAGGTTCCCACCCTGAAGTTTCATTCACGATGCTTAATTTGGTATTCATGTAACAGTCTCTACAAGTTTTCAGGAATGAAGCCATTACACACAGTCATGTAACTGACAATCTTCAAAAGGAATTGTTTCTAAAATGGTGAATTTGTAAGTTGTTCTGATATTTCTGTCAACTCTGGCATTCTAAACTGATCATTGTTCCTCCACAACAGAATAAGGCTTTCTTCATGGGTTTAACCAGAGGTAATCATTTACCATTGCTCCATTTTATTCCACTGCACTTGTGATTAGTTTTTTTTTTTTAATGTGTAGCTGTTTCCTGTAAGAAAACTTTCACGCTGATAAGAGACTGTGATTTTCTGAAATCACATTGGAATCTTTCTGGCTTTACATCTAACCAACCAGCTCCACTTGCTTGGAAAAATCTTGAGAGAAATGTTTCTACTACAGTGTTTCCAAACTTCCATTTCCTTTTTTGAAACCTCTGATCTACAGTCACTTTCTGCTAAAATAAAGACACAGAATATCCATGCTCTGGTCACCTCTCTGTAGAGCAGCAGAACGTCGTAGGTGAACGTCTTGTTCTCGTAGGTGCCCAGCTCCAGCAGTCGTACTCTGCGTCCCAGTGCGTCGTACAGGTATTTGGCGTAGGTCCACAGCTTTTCATTCTGCGTGGACTGGAAAGTGAGAGTCTAAGTGATGCTGATTCACACATTTACTCAGGAGTTCTGCTCAGGTTTTGCTTCATTGTGCAGACGAATGAAAGGCTTACCACCGTGAGGGCTCCGCTGAGAAAGAGAGGACTTTCTGTGTGGAACAAAAATGTAACATTTTTCAAATTAAAAACACCAAATAAATAGTCTAAATAGCAGCAAAATTTTGTCTAATACAGAAAAGGTGAGACATGATGAAGAAATGTTGAGAAAGCAGATGAAGTTAAAGCTTAATTCCAACTAAAACATCCATCTACCGCATGGATGTGGCGTCTCTGCCAGGCAGGCTGCCAGCAGACATGTGAGCAGGACTGGGAGTCTCATGTTTCTCGATGCGCCGATCTGTTCACTGTGCTGTCACAGGTGAGGGATCTCCTCCTTATAAACTCTGACCCGAGTCTCGGACACGCAGAGCCGTGGTTCCGGGTTTTAGCTCCAGCCCTGACAGCTGGCCACAGGTTGAGGTCATAAATGAGACAAGTGTTGTTCTCAGAGTCACGCTGCAGTAAACATCATAAAAGCCAGCGTCTGCAATATTCTCTGAAGGCTGGTTAATGCTCCATTCAGAGCACACGTTTAAAGCAGGTTTTTACTTTTAGTCGTTTTGTATTTTCTTAAATATTGAAATTGATTTCACAATAGAGAAACTTGAAATACACTCTTGAACCTCTTTTGGTTCAATACGTGACTTTTCACTCAGTGGGTGGTTTGGCTTCCAGCATGGGACTGCAGTGGGTCAGGGGTGAACAGTGTTGTTTGTGCTCTGATTGGAGGAGGCTCCTAACCTCAGGACTGGATCTGAGCTGATGGATCAAACCACAGTCATATGACTCAGGGTGTGTGACTATCACGGGACTAACGCGAGTAGCCTCCAGTACTTCCTGTTTTCACAATGCTTACTGTGCCTTTGACCAGTCATTAACCTTCCTTTCTTTCCACAGAGTCTGACCAGAAAGCTGATCACTAGAAAAAGTTACCGACCATTTATCACATTTTGCTGTGCTAACAAAACTCGTTTAACTCGTCTGACTTGTACAGACTTTAGTTCCCCACACATTGCTTTAACAACATTTTTGAATTTATTTTAAAAATTATAGCTTGATAATATCTCAGTTTGACTATTTTAGCCCTTATGACAAAAAGTTCAGACACCGGACGTTTGATTGATATCAGGAACGAAGATCTGATCAGCAAAATTTATTAAAGTCACTGCTTCCACATTCTTGCAATCCAATGTTAACACAGACTATATATATTTTTTCTTTTAGCATTTTTTATTGAAAATTTACTCAAATAAAATGTCTTTTTTCTTCTTCCAAAAACTGATTTCTTCAAGTTTTGATGTATAATTTTTTTTGCCTATGTTAATAAGAAAATTCAACTGGAGTGGTAGAATTATACTTGGAGCTAAAACAATTTAAATCGTAATGCTCTGAACAAATGAACAAAACAAACGCTTACAAAAAAGCAGATTCAACACTTTTCTGGAGAAATATAGATGATCATAAAATGATGTGAAGTACAAAGCACTTAACAAACAGCTTTGAGTTTCAAACTACTTGCTTCAGTCTCAGCTGCTCTGACCATAGTGTTGAATCAATCAGATATTCAGAGTAATGTTGGATGCATTTTCTATAAATATCTGATACACTGTGATTCAGATGCCAAAAAAATTAACAAAAAACATTCTCAGCATCAGTCAGTACATGTAGTCTCCAGCTCTTTAAACATGTGACTGCAGGGTGAGTGGAGTGAGTTCAAGCAGGTTGCAGATCTCGTTGCAGGTTGGTCCATGTTGCTCTTTCCGGAAAATTGCCAGCCCCCTTTCACCAAAGTTTGAGGGCCCTGTGGGGGTCCTGGTGGAGTGAATCTGGGGGTCCGTGAGGTAAGTCAGACCTTTCCCATTGGAAGTCGTCCATCCTGTGGAAGAGGAAAAGTGCCATCTGTTCAGAGTTGCCTTTGATTAGTAGTAAGTGAAACATTGACCAATGTTTCACTTAAACCAATGTGTATTTGCCTGATGATTTTGATGACATTTGGCAAAATATAATGTTTATTTCTTGTTTCATAATTGCTGACTGATGTCTTCATGATTTGAAATGTTTGTTGCTGAAATGTCCTATACAAACAAAGTTGACTTGACAAAATGTCAAATCTCTTTTTCCATGCGATTGCAAACGATTACTGTGTTCATCCCTGGTCAGAGTTATAGTTATGTACTGATACCTTGTAAGTCGACCACAACTTCCTGGCGACCAGAGAACAGATAGGTGAAGTGTCCAAAAGCCAGACCATATTTCGTAGCCTCGACAGACATCTCTTTCTGCCCAGTGTTGTTGGTGAGTTTAACAAACTGTCCAAGCATGTACGGCTCCACGGTGATGCAGCCCACAATCTCATCTCCGTTTAGAATCTAAGCACAAAGAAGAAATGGATGAGGCATCTTGAAACTTTCAAATCTCTTCTGATGAACTGATTTGTTGTTGCTCAAGAAGAAACGTAGGGGTTCAGGATCATTTTAGGCCATGTCCATAACAACCCATATTTCTTTTTTTTTTTTTTTATTTAAATGGATTTCTCTCTGCTGTATTTGGAATTATCATCCACTTGTTTACATCTACCTTCCAATTTACCAATGGTAAGCTAATACAGCTCTTGTGAGGATTTTTGTGTGTATTTTTTGTGTGTTTATTTAGTTCCTGTGTCGTCTCGTCTCCCTCTTGATTGTCCCCATCTGCCTCTTGTTTCCCTGATTACCCTCTGTGTATTTAACCTCACCTGTGTCACCTGTTCCCTGTCGGATCCTTGTCGTAGGAGTCGTAAGTCGTGTCTTTTGTCACTCTGCTCCTTTCGTGTATTCTACCCAGTTGCTACCAGTGTCTGAGCTCCTAGCCTTCTTTGCTGCCTGGACGTCTGTACTCCTTGTTATCATCAAAACATAATTTCTTCACGTCGACCTGAGTCTACTGCATCAATCCTCGCTACCAATTCATGACAACTCTGGAAAAAAAAAAAAAAGAAGAGACCATTGCACTCAAGCCCATTGAAAACCTCCTGGTTATTCCACCAATACTGATTTCTGAACTCTTCCTGAGTTCAAACATTAGTATTGTTAAATGAATATGAACTTGTTCTCTTTGCATTATTTGAGGTCTGAAAGTGCTGCATTTTTAATTTTTTTTTTTACTATTATTGTTTTTTGTTATTTAGACCATTTCCCATTTTATGCAAATAAATACTACATTTTTGCTTGGAATTTTGGAGACATGTTGTCAGTAGTTTGTAGAATAAAAGAATGTTAATTTTACTCAAACATATACCTATAAAAAGTAAACTCAGAGAAACTGATAATTTCTCTGAGATAATTTCCTGCAGTGGTTGTATTTTTTTCCAGAGTTGTACATGCTTTCAGCTGGTAAATCATTACATACCGAGGGATAAATTTACACTATTATGATACTCAACAATGGCTACCCATAAATCCTGATGAATGGAACCAGTTAGGTAGATTACAAGTTTGTCTTGAAAACCTGCTCTGGCTGCCCTAAACCAAACCACTACCAGTATATGCCTAACCCTAAACCTAACCTAAACTCAATTCACACCTTAATCCCAAACCTAACTCCTGGCCCAAAAACAGCTGTTCTCAGTTGGCCCCCGCAACCTCATATGGTTTAGGAAGACGGTCCTTACAATTGATCAAATACAAAGCCACACACACACACACACACACACTGTGCTCACCAACAATGCGTCGGAGGGAATGTAGAAGATCTGAGCCAAAACTTCTTTATCGTAGAGACTCTTGTTGAATTCAGTCACATAGTACTGAGCTGTCATCTGGCGCTCCACATCTTTCAGGTGATACTGGATTTCTCTTGGCTTCAAGTAATCCTTCCCTACATAACTGCAGAAAATGTCCAGAAAAACCAGAGGATATTAGACAAAACTCAGAAAGCATTAACAGCTTTTTCGCCTTTTTATCCTATGTCACAGTCTTAGTTAAAAATATTTCTATCAAATTTCTACACACAATTCTGCCAAATATACCCCTATTTTTTTTGTAAATTTGTTGAAAATAAACAATTAAAGGAGCAGTATTATGTAAAAGCAGCATTTTTAGCTTTGAATCATGATATAATGTTATTCCTTTATCAAAAATATACCTGAAGTGTTGATTTGACTATTTCATGCATGTTCGAGAAATCATTTATCTCCAGTGGCAACCATTCAGCTGTGTAAAACCTCTGGGGGGATTGAGCATCGCCTCCTCAGACCAGCAGTTTCCAAACTTCTGATCTTCCACCTCACAGAGCAGCCTTCGCCCACTCGGCTCCTTCAGACTAGCCAGCAGCAATTAGCAAACACCTGGTGGAACTGTGCATCTGCTAAGTTCATTATATGAGGTAATTCAGTGCAATGCTGGTAGAAACGTTACTAAAGGGTTAATAGAGGAGCCATGTTGTGATGACTTCCTGAAGGCGGAGTTTCAGGAAGAAGAGGAGTTTTTAAAGAGACAGATGACCAATTTCAAGGTGTTAAATCATGAAGTCAAATTTCTTTCAAATTTGAGATATATGGCATTTTGACAACAACTGTCAGTAACATACTTACTTGATTGTGCTGTAAAATAATTTTATGTGACTGGAAAACGCATAATACTGCCCCTTTAAAACACTAATTTTATGTTCATTCAGTATTTTTTTTGATGTGGAAACGCAGATATACACTGGGGAAGTGAAGAACGTTAAGATGCTTCTGATTCACCTTGAAGCAGCAGCCATTTTGTAGCCATTCTATTTCAGTCTCAAGCATTTTGATGAAATTGGAAACATCTGCTGAAATACAAGACATTTTGAAACATGTATTGAAGTCCTTAACGACAAGCTAGAACAAAAAACAGCTAAATGTAGTAGTTCTAAAGCAAATATTTATTTTTGTCTTTTCCACCAACTTCCTGTTTGCCCCAGGAACCATAATAGCTGACAATGGCTGATACTCAGCAGGGTTAGTTGTGTCTGAGCTATTGCTGACCTTTGGTGTGAAACAACAGTTTAAGGAGTGATAGAAGTCCTCACCATTGGTGCCACAAAATGTCTATAATTTTGTTGAAAAGACTTTATATCAATGTCTGGCCTACGTTGACCCCTTGATCCTGTCCAGGTGGTGGGAGACAGAAGAACTCCCACCCATCATGAAGCTATTACTGAGCTGGAGCTCTCCTTCAGTGACATCATGGGTGCACAAAAGAGTTTTATCATAGATCCTTCTGCCTTGTGCTTCCACTCACTTTTAACTTGCTGCTGATACATCCGAATTTCCCCCATTGTGGGACAGGATATCCTATTCTATTCTAATTTAAATTTGAGGCTGCAGCCTTTTTGAAACCACGGTTTCTGCTCGAAGCAAAATGTGACATGGAAATAGCATGATTATTTTTGTAGCATCTCATACCTGCTTAACCTCTCCTCCTGATGCAAAAACTGAACCCATATCGCTCTTCTCTGTTTGCCCTCCATCTCCATCAGATCCCCGATGTAAACACAGGTCTCTCTGGCCGTCCACAGTCCTGTGGCCTTGGAGAACTTCAGGTGAAGAGCATCTAGTGGGGAGAATTCGTGACAAGAGTCATTTATTCAGACGGGCTTTTAGCTAGCTTTTCGATGTGCGATCTTGTATGTATTCTGTTTTCAGGACTTTGGTTTTCTGACCTGTGGAAGGTATACTATATAGATAAACTTGACTTACATTTACACAAAACAGTAAAATGGCAGCATAAAAACACCAAAATACTCAAGGAAATACTAAAAGCAGCAGGAAATTATAATTAGGTGCATCAGTTAAGAAGCCAATCAAGACTGTTGCATATTTTGAAATTTAGAACATTTTCATTTATGTTCTAATGTATCATGTATATATTTTTATTTTAAGGCATATTATATATTTTTAGCATGACAATTGCACTGGTGAATATAACATTTTGAATAAACTGGGATTATCTACATAGATAATGGAAGAGAAGTTCCTGCTATCACAGAAATAAACTTACTGTAGGCAGTTTGAAATTTTTGGAGTTGGAATAACTCTGTCTTGCTGTAGAACCTCCTCTGCAGACATTCATGGCAGATTCCAGCCAGTAGAGCCTGGTAATCATGCTGGGACAACTCAAACTCAGGAGCAGCTGTTGTGCTGGGGTACAGACAGCTGTAGCACAAAGTATTCTTGTTCTGAGGTGCTTTTCTTGCAGAAGTCACTTCATTGCTTTGGTGCCCGTTTTCATTGAGCTCCACCATATCGTATGAGCTCTCAGAGCTCTCCTCAGAGCTTTTAATAGTTGCGTTTGGGTCTGGAATCCTCTGTGAAGAGTTGTGTTGGACCGCTGAGACTGCACAGCCTACAAGTTTTGCAGGACTTGAATTGGCTGCAGGTTTTATATTTGAGTGAACATCATGCCTCTCGAGTGGTTTGTGATCTGCGATGCCACCAGGTGAAGAGCTGCTTTCAGAATTCGGTGTTTCCACAATGACGAAGCTCCCATCAGAACCTGAAGATTGACTCCTTGGTTTTGACACATAACCTGGTTGTACTTTTTCACACATGGGGGAGTTTTGGCCAGTTGAGATTTTTTCCCATGAAGACTGGGAACTAAAACTCTCTCCAAAGGAACTGAAAGATGTTTGGAGAGGTAGTTGGGAATGCAAATATTCTTTGCTTTCCTCATTAACATCAGCCATACTGTCTTCATCAAAGTCTTCTGTCTCTGTTTCGGCTTGAATTGCTTCACACTGTGGAAGCGGTCTTGGGGTTTCAGGAATTGTGGACTTTAGGACTGGATGGGAACTATTTCTGGAGTTCTGGTTTTGCGGCTTTGGCTTATGGTTTTCATCTGCAGAGTGTGAAAAACTGTCGTCATCATCACTCTCAGTGGGAATGTTCCTCTGATCGCTAATGCTTGCTCCGTGTCCACTGCCACTTCTATGAACACCACTGCTGGGCTGAAGAGAGCCTGATCTACTGAAGGAGAGCTTCTGCCAAGACAATCCCAGGGGGTCTGTGCTTTCCAGGGTTGCAGCAACATTTTGAGACAAAAACACGTTTGATGAATCCGAGCTTTTTGATTTTTGCTTGAATACTTCTGTACCACTTTCTCTGCTGGCTTTATCTAGGTTTGTATCCAGTGCTGTTAAAACTTTTGCCTTTTTGTCTTCAGTCTCCTTGAAACTTTTGGTGGCCTCACACAGTGATGCATGATATTTCTGAAATCTCTCCAATATCTTTGAGAAATCCTCCAGGGTGAAATTTACAGAGGAATCTTTGTCGTTTCTGTAGCTGTCTGGAATAAAAGATCCTTTATCTGAATTAGGGAATGGCTCAACACCCAGCAGCTGCTTGACTTTAGCAACTTGTTGCATGATTCTAACAGACAGGCCATCTTTGTCTTGAGTACTGGAATCACAATACTTGTAGAAATATCCTAAAGCTTGCTGGCAAGCTTGAGCAGCCTCCTCTACAACATCCTTTGGAGCGTCCAGCCACTTGTCAGTGACGGTCATTGAATAGGCTGCCTTCAGGAAGGTATGAAGTTCCTGCTGGCTGGTAACCGGCTCGCCCTCTGCTTTGGTGAGAAGGCCGATTGTGAAGGCCTCTCGAGCCTTCTGGAGAAAGGTCACTCTTTGAGAGGGAGGGCATGCTAGTGAGAAGCTGTACAACAACAAGCAGCTTCCTTGAGCCGTCTAAAGACAAACAAATAAAAAACAATTACAGACCATTTTTTAGATAGTTACCTGGTTTTTCCTGACCGTTAGTCAAGTTTAAAACTCTCAACAGTTTCTAAATCTAAATTTTCTCTATTAGTTGACACCTTTCAGCACAGCCTGTAAGTAGGATGGCACATTTAGCAATGGCTGCTGCTGAACCACAAGCAGCTTGTCAGTTATAGTGTGTGGTTTTCTGGTTCATGTGATGACATTACTGGCAGTGGCTTAATTTCTATTTTTTTCCACTTCTCTTTTGTCACATTACCATACCAATCCCTCTGTGTATTGAAACATTTTAGGAAAAGAAACAGACCATCCTTCCTTATCACATTGATTCCTTATGAATGGGTCCAATGACAAAAGTCAAAAGACACTTTATTCAGCACATGGAACGTAACCAAATCAAATGTAGAAGTTTTCTGAGTCCTGGATGACTGTTGAAAAACTAAGTGACTCTTTTATTGATAGGAGAAATGTTCCTGTAACAGCCGTGGTAACATGAGAGTGTTCATAAGTACAACGTACCACATTCGTCAGCACGTAAAGTGAAGCGTACTGACTGTACACCACAGCCATCTTAGCTGCCTGGGCGGCCAAAAGAAGACGATGACTCCCAGGATTTCCGAGTAAAGATGGCTGAAAAATAGCAACAAATATAAATTACACTGAATACCAAAAATATCTGCACAAGGAAAACAACTTTTTTTGGTTTCTTAAACTTACAAAATCAATATCTGGATTAGTTTTAAAAGAATGGAAGTCTTCATCACTCATGGACACTAATATGTTAGCCAGTAAACCAAGAGAGGTCCCAATGCCCTGTGAAACAAAGGTTTATAGCAATGTGGGATTGAGGCTAGTAAACACAACAGCTTTACAATAGGGTACCAATGCACACTTTAGCAGTCTTATCTTTAAGGTTACCTTCTTATCAGGCTGAGGGAGTGAGTAGTAGCCAACCAGAGAAGCCCAGATTAGCTCTGCGGCCTGCAGCCACAGGCCTGAAATACAAAAAGATTGTAAAAGCAGGACAGAAAACAAAAAACCTTTAACTGCTAGAGCTTGGAAATAAATACAGGAGCAATATCCCTTTAAAACCAGAAGCTGTTCTGTTGTAGTGAGAGTTAAAACACATTCTAACGATATATATATATATATATATATATATATATATATATATATATATATATATATATATATATATATATAGAGTTTTGACAAAATATAAAATTTCAACAAAGTCTGTTTTTGTTGAAATGCAAAGGTTGTTAAAGCAAAAAGACAATACTTCGTGGGATGTCTGAGTGTCACCTTGAAGAAACAGAGTCAGAAGACAGTCAGATGGAATCCCTTTATGCATTTATAAGAAGTTGTAATCTGTAAGGAACATCTTTTTATATCTCGTTATAACAAAGTTTCTCATTTCAGCTAGCTACTGCTCCTGAATTTCCATACTAGCTCTGGCAGTTAGAAGCTTCCGTACATGAAGAAATTAGTAAACTACTGCTTACTAATTTCAAACTCACCCAACTTTTGCAAAACCATTCCACGCACTTGAACACTGACGGCTTGAACGAGCACTTTGTCACTGTCACAGTGATAGACCCAACAACCTGAATGTCAAAGACAAGTTCATGCTTAGAGCTGGACTTTGGGCCTTTAAAACTGAATAAAAAGCTCTGTTGAACTACCTGTTGTTCCATTTCTATAAATCAAACTGCTCAAGATGGATTCTGCCTTCTGAAGTTTTCCTGTGGAGATAAGATATAAAATAATCAAAAAAAAGTATAACACTAAATGAAATTATCAAAAAAGCTTTCAACCCTTGTAATACCAATTCATACTATCCTGTAAGTGTAGATGTGTTTTATTTTGTTGATTTGCCAATGAAATGGTTTGTTTCACAGTCAAAACACAGTAATACTAAATAACAATGAAAGTTGAGTTGTTGTTGCACATTCTACAAACATAAAAATCAAAACTGTTCCATTTGACCTTTATATAAATGTCCAATTATATATAAGGCATAAGAATACCAGTCAATATGTTCAAGCCCCTTCCTCCATCAGTAAATACCAGAGTTAAGGAAGACTCTGGCCACCCGTATGATCAGCTGAGGGGCTATGGGTTGTTCAGGGTACCACCGGTTTAGGAGCTTGGTGATCTTTAGAAGTCGTCTGGATTCATCGATCCAGTAGAGGAATCGGTCCACCAGGAACATCACTGCCAGGGACGTCTGTGGTTCCTGAGCCATGATGGAGGACTTCAGAAGATCCTGGCAGCAGATTAAACACACAAACTGTATGTAAGCGAGGCGCGTGTGGATTCAAAGTGCTGTAAAAACATAGTCATACCTGGATGGATGACTTTTTGCTGTTTTGTCACACTGTTCAGACCAAACTAATTTTAAGCATATCCGCTGTTTTTTTTTGTTATTTTTATCTAGCACTGTGTTGATCATGTACGCTGCTATCACTGTCCCTTGGGCCATGGCTGCTTTAATTGTGGTGTATTGTATTGAAAGGCACTGCATGCTGTACTGATGGCGGGACCATTGTTTGAACACCGTTATTGTGTAGCCAGTTAGAAACGAACTCCTTCACCCGAACTCTATCTTCTCTGATTCTGGTAACTTATATAAAATGAATTATACTCATAATTATAGATGCATAGACCATAAAGTCACAGCACTCCTCCACCGGCAGCCTGACACACCCTGACGCAACACGTCAACGCTCTCAGTCAGTGGAGTTTAAAAGATGGAAAGTAGAAAGAACAAGAGAGGAGCAGAGAAGGGAAAGAGGAAACCTCTGGAATCAGACGCAGTTAAATGAGTAGAAACTGTCGACTTTTTCACAAAAACGAGCTCTAGGTTAGTAACGTTGAATGAAGATTATGAAACTGTTCAGTAAAGTCAATGAATCCTTGACTTTAGATTATGAGATTATGCAACAAAATGTTGCATAATCTCAATATTTTTATGATGCGATCAATGCCCCAGATCTATCTTATAGCCAGAAAAAAGACACAGCACCCTTTGACATGTTTCTGTAATACTGCAAATATTCTTTACAATATTGTAAAAAAAAAGGAAAGTCTAATGTTGTAACGTATATTGTTGGAGATTTGACCTTTAACTCTTATTCTCTCTCTTTTTTTAATCTAAATTGTGATGAAACCATTTTCTTGAAAACAAGCTGAAAGTGCAACACTATTTGTTTTAATTTCATATTTTGAAGTATTAATGAAGTTAATATGGATAGCTTTTTCTCTCTTAAAAACTGATTGCTATAATTTTACACAGCATGTCTTTGATGTTAAAATTAGTTTAATGACTAACATTTAGGTTTGCTAAAAAAAAAAATAAAATAAACAGGAAAAACTGAAGGTGAAGGTCATGACTTTTCTCTGCCTGTGTTTGTTAGCATAAGTTGTCTAAGAATTACCAAGAGTTGCTGCAGGTTTTTGCCGATGAGGTCATTGAGGTTGGTCTTGTCTGTGGGGCTGATGGACTGCTTATACTGCCACCTCTCTGGCACAAAGGGCCACTTCATCTGCTCTGCCTCCTCCAGCAGAGAGGCCAGTTCTTCACACAGAGACTCTACAGGATATAAAAGAGGAATTTCATAATCCCAGGAAAAAGAGTTCAAAAACAACGAGAACACTCAGGTTTAAAGCTGCACAACAGACTTCACTATCGGCATCAGTTAGAAGCCCTGTTCAGGTTTTCTCCAGTTCTCCAGAACTTAATGTAGATGAAGGTTACAATTTCAGAAAAATCCACTCCAGTGTCATCAGATTATTATCATAAGACATTAATGTGCACATAAAAAAGACTCGTACATAATTCACGTATGCATGTTCATACATACTTCATAATTTGCCAGGTCATTTCAATGCAAAACCCTAAACATGAATTCTGAAAGGCGTTTCCATGGCCCAGTCAAAGTCCAGATCATAATCTGATCGATGTGATAAGCTTCTGAATGCGGCTCATAAAGTTTTGATTGCTTTAAGCAAAACAAACAAACAGACAAACAAACAAACAAACAAACAAACAAACAAACAAACAAACAAACAAACAAACAAACAAACAAACAAAAACGATTTAACTCCAGTAAGAACCAAATATTTAGTCCAGATGAACAGGCATATAGCGCCATCGTGTGTCTGACCTCTGCAACATTTGTACTTCAGCTTCACAGAGTCAGAGATTTCAACACTTCCAGGTTTTTCTCTCGCTGCGCTGAGGCAATCCTCCAGTAATCCTCCCACCTCCATTCTCAGAAACACAAACAGTGGCTGCTAGAGAAAAAAAAGAGGATTTCCTCCTGCTTAGAAAGAAATAATGTAATAAAATAAACAACTATGTGTTTGGAAAGGACTGGAAACATTACAGTTTTGTTACTTTATAAAGTATGAGACAGAAAAACAGATTGAAAGAATGAACGAAACCATCGAGAGGAAGAAAGATTATTTTATGTTCAATCTAAATACTGAGAAAACACAATCAGTATTCATCATTAAACACTGTCTGGACTAGAAATACAGTCATTTGTGCTACCATGCATTACAATGTAAAAAGCTTTGAAAAACTTTTCCCGTAGTCAGATTATTTTAATTACTCATTGATCCCTTGTTCTGTACTTTGATCATGTTCAATAAAAACACTTTACATTCAGAGAGAACAGAGTCACAGTGAATAACTGCTGTAGGACAAGATGAGCTTCAGGATCAATACGGCAGAAATACATCCCGTTTTATTTGAAAGGAGCAACTTATTAAAATCATTTTTAACAATAAAAAGTACGTACCAAGAGTTAAGAGTTCCCGGTGACTTCCTGGTCAGGCAGGGCTATAAAATGCTGCTTTCAATGCTGTAGGAAATTAGATTTTCTCAGGTTGGTTGCTTTCATTTTCAGTCCTGAATAAAAACTGATACTTGTTTTTCTTTAGATTCTCAGAGAGAAGACATGCAGTCCTGACGCAGAAGACGTCCAGAACCCTGCCTCAGATGAGCCATCTGACATTATTATGAACCTGCTGGTGTGTGTAATCTGCAAACGCCTCTGGAGTTTCTAACTAAAATAAGTAACCATTTGAAACATGTCAAGTCTTCTGTAGCAATAGACGTGACATCTGTTTTTCTGAATTCTTCAAAAAGCTATTTCAAGATATCGTCCGCAAGTAAAGTCACCCTGGGATGACGTAGCTGATAAAAACAAATTTTTTATGCCTTCCTCTACATTTTCATCTGCCCAGCTCCAGGAGGACAGCAAGCATGGATTATCTCACAGTTCCTATCTGAGTAAAGTGTCATTTCTTTGATACCTCAGGTCTTCTGGAAAAGATCTCGAAAAAGAGCCTTGACTTGTGTCTTTTCAAATCGTACTCCTTCAGTACAGCGATGCTTTTTGATGTGGAAAGCAACATTTTGAAGCTAATAAACCCTGAAAACTTTAGCTTTCACAATATTCTTCTGTCCCGTTTTATTTGATGCCATGTTACCACCTTTGCACAGGTCAGTCAGGTACATAGACTTACAGTTATCACTGAGATGATTTTCCCCTTCAGAGATTACCCGTTGGGCAGATCCTTTCTCTGTTGTATCATAAAGCCAATGTGTATTCCAGAATTTCAGAACCACAGCTCCATGATCTGTTTCTGGCAATTTTCTGGGGGCCACAGAAAGTTTTAAAACTTCTGTATTTGCCTGGCGGCCTGCAACACGCCTCAGTCTGCCATATGGGGTTCAGCCAAGAACACGGCTGATCACCAAACCAGCGTTTTTGGTACCTTCGACAGTAATGTTGAATATTTTCTAAAACATTTACATTTTTTGACTCCTTTCCTTCTTTCTGAAAATATTTCTGAATATTTATTTCTTTATAATATTTTACAGTTTTGTAATGGTTTACAATGCTAACAAAGGAAATGGTTTAGTAAGTTAAAACTAATCTTTGAACATGGTCTTCAAAAGTCTGCACACCTGTTAGAACCTCAGGGATTGAGACTTAAAAATATGAGACCATTATAAATCATTTCCATTTAATTGGACATACACTGCATTGGCACTATATTTATTTCAGTACATTTTCTTCAGTAGGAACATGGAAGTTGGTCAGAGTTGATGGGAGAAAACTTGCTAGAAGTTGTAAAAGCAGGAAAATGACCCCAAATATACAGCCAGAGATACAATGGAACGATTTAGATAAAAGCACATTTCTTTGTTAGAAAGACCTAGTCAAAGTCCAGCCCTAATCCATTCTCAGGAGTGTATCCCAACTCAATCAGATTTTTCTCCTTTGGAGATGCACAGTGTGAAACGCCAGGACACAAGCACTCCGCCTTGAGGAGACCCAGTTTTCAGTGTGGTGGATTTGGGGACTAACGTTTCTCTCTCGGTCACATAGCTGAGAATCCACAGGTAAAGAAAGATTCTCTATTAATCTCTGAGGTATGATGATAAATCAGTGTTCCTGGACAGGTTTCTATTTTAGACTGTTTCTGAGATGGGAGGTTGGGCTGACAGGCAAACCGATAAACATTTAGTGTTGCGGGGAGGCTAACAGTCAAGTGTGGTTTGACAAGTTGCAAAAATGGTTGAATTATTATTGTGGTCAATATGAAAGATTTACTGAGGCAGGAAACAGTTGATTTCTAAATTAGAGTTTAGACTCCAAATTAGCAGAAACCTATGTGACTACTTTCAAACACCATTTGTTTTTAGCTTCACATCATTCCACACATCATGTTTTTTTGTAAATAAATGTTTTTGTTGTTGTTTTTTTTCTTCACAATTACACTGTCATTTTGTTTTTCAACCTCAAAATAAAACATGTGATCAATGGTAACTAATGTTTAGCTAATGTTTAAGCACTAACAATCTTCCAAAAAAACTGACAGCTCAGTTTTACAAAGTTAGTTCCCTTTTTATTCTGGTGGATTGCAAGAGCAGCTTCACAGTAAACGAGCCTGAGTGGACATTGCTTCATCTCTCTGTTTTTTTTTTGTCATTGACCTGTACCTTACCCAGGTTTCTAGAATGCATGACCATCACTGCTTATTTATTATGATGTTTTCCTATTTACAGTCATTACTGAATTTTACTTGTATATTTTCCCAGCAAGTTTTAGCACAACAAATTTAATTTGTATAAAAAATATCATATTTTATTTCTTTGTACATTAAAAAACCTTGTGTGTAATTCATTAGCCAGTTAGATCTTATTGTAAAATGCATTTGGTAAATCAAATTACTTGGAAATGAACATCATTTTGAACAAGACAAGGATTAAGTGAATATCTTAATGGCCTCACATGTTCTCAGAATATTTTATGCTATGAATCTTTAAATAATTATTATAGTTGCTATGCATGTGCTCTGTCTTGTGTGTCTCTGGGTTCCTCTGACAGACTGGATAAACAATCGATGGAAGTTATATCTTAGCGCCCTCTGCTGGCAATGTGTTTAAGGTTAAGCCCCAAATTGTCCTCATACCTGACAGGTTGAGATTAAAAATTATTTTAATTAAAACAAGACCTTTCTGTCAGGTAGGAAATGAGACAGGCATTTCTCAAAAGATAACAAAACAATATAAATCTACTATGCATAAAAAAGTGTCTTAAAAAATTGCTTCTTCCACAAATTCTCTAGCTGATGCAAAATGATATTACTTCCAATCTTAAGATAATTGTCAAAACTAAAAGGCTACGTTAAATTTACTATCCTAGGGGTATGAACAATAACTGTAGCCATTTTACTTTGAACATAAAAGATAAAATAGCCAAGCTATCTAAAATAAGTCCCCCATCTTTTGGGAAAGTCTAATAAAAATAATAATAATAATAAATAAGCTTTTACCATCTATTTGTAGATAACTACTTAATCACTACATTCAGAATGTAACAACAAAAAAATCTCCCTAAAACGCAATTCTCCTTCATTCTCTTGTTCAATGAATGCAACACGTGACGTGACGCGAAGGAAGGGGCAGATCTGATGTAGTAACAGGTTGCTGTGTTTCTTAGAGTGCATCCTAATATTTCAAATGGAAAATAACTAAAATAAAGTCCTATTTAATGCGACAATGTTTTTCAAATCGCACTTTAAAACAGCCGACAAGAAAACCGTATTATGTGTTGGAATAAAAACCGTTCAGCGCACGATTTAAACGGAGAAAACTCGGTACTTTTGTAACTTTCCCGCTATACAAACTCCCTCTGGTGTTAAGCGTACTTCAACCGCCGCGGTGTGTACATGTATGTGTACGTATGTATGCAAAGTATGTGTGTATGTGTACGTATGTATGCAAAGTATGTGTGTATGTATACGTGTGGAGCTCGCAGGCCGCCTCGCACGCGGACTGAAGCGCGGTGCCTTCGCGGTGCTGCCGGAAGGCGGGACTGTGGCTCCGCACTGCGATCTGTCGGTCGCACAGCTGGAAGGCGCTCCAGCTGCGAGCCGATGGCCGAGCTCAGCGGCACGCCAACACACACCCACACCAAGTCGCTTCCGAGTGCGTCAGCATCACAGCACTTTGTATAGGCATTTTTTTTTTTTTTTAAATCTCTCAAGAGCTGATAAGAATTATTAGAAAGAAGCAGCCGCATGACCCGACAGAACAACAAGTACCAACTCTGAGGAGAGGAGCGAACCGAGCGGAAATCGCCTGATGACTCGTTGTGCATTCCGCCTGTGAGCGACCAGCAGGTCCCTGAGCTCCCAGTTGGTGGCCGAGCTGACGATGTGATGTGAGGCTAAACTCATCCACCACTGTTCCCTCTGCAGCCCGTCCTCCCCGGAGCATGGGACCCCGCGAACTCTGAAGGTAAGCGCCGGACCACAACTTGCCTGTTAGTGCACACACTGACGCCACTTCGTGCGTCTTTCATGCAGACACAGAATCATCTCTTAACACTTTCTTGTGCGGATCTGTTATTTGGAACGTCTCTGTCGATCCAGAGGTTTGTTTCGGGATAATCACGGCTGGACGTGTCTCTGCGTCCGTGTTTTCTATAGGTTGATTAAATCAGGCATTGCATGTGTGAGTGGAGGTTACTGTTATATGGATCTACTTGTTGCTCAGAGTCAGTGATGGTGGAGTGTGCACGCACACACACGGACACACGCGCGCGCGCAAAATCACCTGGTGACTGGTGGTTGTTGTGTGCAGGAATGACCGCATGCACACATTAACTTTATGGCTTCCAACAGCCATAATGTGAATGCTCGGGTGCTGCGGCTGCACTGATAAGACGCATAAACCTGCTTTATGATTGTCAGAATATGGAAATTTGTTTAATTGGCCCTGAGCAGAGCTCCCAGTAGTGATGGAGGAAAGCAGGTCTGTTCCTAAAATTAGAGGCGGCTTCTTCAAGTTGGATCTGTTAATTGCAATAAATTCCAGCTCTTCATTATTGTGTGTTATTAATTATTATTATTATTATTATTATTATTATTATTATTATTATTATTATTATTATTATTATTTATTTATTTATTTTTTCGCCTTGGCTGCTTAAATTCAGCACAAAAGGTTAAACCTGAATTGCTCCCTCAATCAGACGGGACTTGTTCCCTACGCAAGGCTGCAGACGCGCTTTGCTTGTGGTGATTTAAGGTGATTTTCTCCCGCCACCCTCAGCGCAGAGACGGATTAGGAAGCATGTTTGAATGCCAGCTTCACCCGCAGTGTTATCCTGCTGAATGTTGAGCTGCTCCAGTGCGGGGATTTTCACTTGTAACTGGGTGTCTGTGTGGACGTTTGAACGGGATTACAGTCGTGGCAACCTCCCGCAATTCTCGAGTTTTACGTTACGGTATGTCGTAAAAACAACAATAACAACAACAACAAAAGAAAAACAAACAACTCGTCGTTCTCAGGCTGTAAAATGAGGTGAGATGGCCTCGACTTAACAGTGCTTACATTTTTTTGCCGTGTCACTGTTTATTTTGCAGATGGCAGGAGTTATAGTGTGTGAAAAAAATGAAGCTACCTCATTATTTATGACTATTTAAAGTCTCCTTGAGTAGTGAAACATAACATGCCACATTCCTGAGAAATAACTTGAGTGGAATACACTGGAAGGAGTATGTTGCCTTTTACACACATTTGAACGTTTCCGGTTGAAGTTTGTAGGTGATCAGTTAGCATCTAAAAAAAAAAAAAAAACCTCATAAAATATCTGAACCGCAAGTCGTATTTAGGGTAGCAGCTAAGTACTTTCTGAGGTGTGTATGCATGCGGACACATTGCAGCTCCTCCAAACACCTCAAACTACAGTACACAGTTTAAAGACAACATTTTACCGCTAACTTTAGCTAACCTGAATATTTACAAGCCCCCTCTTGAAAGACTGAAATAACTCACCTACTACCTGTCAGTCACTTTGAAAGACTTTTATCCTTGTCCCTCTTCTGTTTTTTTTTTTTTTTTTTTTTTTTTTTTTTTTTTTTCCCTTTTCTAAAAAAACAAACAAATCAAAAAAAAAA